GTTTTGCAAATTTGACACCCAGACTCAATTTCATGAGTTTATTTTCTTTCATATGCCTCTGTGTGTATATATATGTACAGACATCCATATATACATACATATGTATATATATGTGTACGAGAGTAGATGTGTGTGTAACAAGAGTTATCTTTGTATATCGTTCTATAAGATCATGAAGACAATTAAGTAATCGAACATAATTGAGTAAATTCTTGGAATTATAAATATCGAAGAACCGCGTCCGAATGTGAGCAGTCGCTTCGCGGAAGTCCTAACTGGAAGAATAAATGAATGGATCGACCAAGTATCCAGCAACGCGCTGCGTTGCAGCTAAACCTAAGTTAAATATATCACACAGCTTCATATAGTAAAGTATAAAAAGATTAGAATACATTTTACCCGACCAAACGGAAATTCATTGGCGGAGCGCGGCTCTCTCGGTAATGCCCACTAAAAAATATCGCCGCGTGAATCTTTTCTTTCCCCGAATCAAATCCCCGATGTGTTGTCGATGTGTCATCATCATTGCGCTCTTATCACAGACGTCAATGTTGCTTAAACCTAGAGAATTGATTTGTGCTGCCTTACGTAGCGGACATAAACATGTCGAAGGAAGAATTCTTAGACAAGCGTCATAGTTCGATTTTACGCCGCGTCGGCGATTTCATCGCATGACCTTGTCGTAAGAGGGTGGCGGCGCCTCGTCCGAAGGTGCAAGTGGCGACTGTGATGGCGGTGGTATCAGGATAGCGATGTGATAAGGCGGTGGAGGCGGCTGCCTCACCGTCGTCGTCGGCACTGTCGCCGTCGCTCTACTGACAATGCTGTCGCCGATGCTGGACGCGTTTGTCAGGGCAACGATATGATCCTCCTGCATACGAGCACTATGCTCTGACCGACTACTGTGATGGTAATTTCTTTCATGAGAATACTTGCAGAAGATCGAGTATAAACAAGCGGACAGCAGAAATATCAGTAGCCCGCAAAACACGAGTATCTCCAGGCCAGGCCCCTGTTAGCACGAAAATAAGAATCGATTAGAAAGTATGAAGCAAGGAGATAACAGAAGAATAAAAGGTCGCAAAACAGTGGCAGTTTCTTCAGTGGTGCAGAATTTTGAGATAAAATCTTGAAATAAGAATTCTTTCTAAGTACAGATACGCTTACCCGATAACCGAAGTAGAATTTAGCAGCCGCTACAAAGACTGTTGCCAGAGCAAAGGTAGACCAAATCCCACAGCGCAGTCGGAAGCCGGCCAACTCAGCCTGCCGTAATTCAAAGACGCTTCCTGTTAATAGGCTTCTATTCCGTTCTGTACCATTCACGCCGGTCGTATTAGACAGAATTAGTTGATTGTTGCTAGCGTCGGTGACATTGCTGCAAACAATGCGTTAAACCAAAAACGATTTAATACCGCTATAGTGCCACGTATCTTCGTACTAAACTCACAAAGCTGCAAATCGAGGGCGAATCATTTATAAGTAATCTTTCTGCTGATAGATATGTATAAGTGAGTCACCCTGTATATAGGAAGAGCATGTTCCTCTCAGAATGTCTCCTTTGTCTTAGTGTAGACCTTTTTGTGTTTTCATTAATTACTTGGGGATGTTGTTCAGCTGAGCGAGTTGGATGGCGCTGAGCGATGACGAACCGTGATGATGGTTCTCATTGTTATGGATTCGCGCAGACGTCGTCGAACGAGCGAAGCTCCGGCAGGAGGTATTGACATTACTAGGTCCGGCTGGAGATGCGTTTCCGACTGCGAGGTTACCTGTGAGGCCCTGGAATTGATGCACAGCACTCACCATTTGCCTATGTTGGCCGCTGCGCCTACATTGGCCTGCAAAAATAATTGATAAATAAAATGATAAAAAATAGAATAACGATAAGGAAAAAATAAAAAGAATAGATATTGAAATTTTCCTTCATATAATGTTGTTAATTCTTTCATTTATTTATCAGATTTGCCTTCTTTTCAATTAATTCTACAGAATTATCTGAAAAAATAATTTCTAAATTTTATTCTGAGTTTCATGTAACAAAGATAAAGATATTCTATAAATTTTGGGTAAATAAAATATTGATAATATATGCACAGGTCACAAGTAGAATTGTAATATATAATTTTCATATCCTCTATCTTTTTCTCGTACTTTGCTAATACTGGATTTATACCGTTATACTTTGGTACACTTACTGTGTGATTTGGGCATAGGTGTGGCAGGATATCGGCCGCCGAACCTGCCCGGCGGTTTGTTGAGCCAGAAGTGCATCAGGGAGTTACTGCAGCGGATTCAGAGATTCATCGTCAGCTAATGAAGATAGCGTTTTTAGTTTTTTGGCTATAAATCATAGCCTGTGTCTCAGTGAATACTCAATGGCCATGTTGTGTATCTTTATGAAAGACCAAGGAATAAACTGATGCACAAAGAAACGCGGCAGAGATACAATTTAAAACATATATATTTTTACTCCAATTATAATTCATTCATCTCCTTTTTTCTCTTTTTATAATAACAAGATTTAAAAGACATTTTAGAGGATGCCATAAAAATTTATAAATTCTTTATCACCCTCAGAAAACTTTCTATCAAATAAAAACAAATTTTGACAAACTTTCCTTTATCTCTTTTTATGCGCAATTTTTATCAGGAAATTCTCAATCAATGTTTTTTATCAGAATAATCAATAAACCCTTTTCTCATACACAACCTATGTGAGCTAAATTTTAGAAACAATATCACTACTTACTCTACAATGATTTCTCGTCGACGTAAGAATTATGCACGATCCCTCTTGAACATTTCTTTCAACTTGTCAACTTGCAACTCTCCTGCTCGTCAGGGTCGATCCCAGGTCCCACTATCATGTATTTCGAATAGATGTGTTCTATCAATTTTGGATGTATATTATTCATTGTCCGTTATAAACTTATTGTCGTCAATGATAGTGGTAAAGTTCATCTTCTACCTTAAAGATGCATTGTCATGCTTTATGATGTTCTGAAAAAAGCACCATGTATTTATCAGTTAAATAAATAAGATAATTGTGGCATCTCATAGTGAACGTTAAAAATGTAAATACAGCTACACAATAGAAAAGAATGGAGTTAATGACTCTAAAAAATAGATATCTCAGACTCTCATGTTTTATGTATTAAAAAATAAACCAAATATATTATGAATATTACAAATATTTATCTAAAGATCATTATAAAAATAGAAAATAAAATTAAGTTTTTTTTTCCAATTGTATTTTTTTTATTCCTTAAAGTAAACAAGTATGCGATAGTATAGCCAAGAAAACTGATGGAAATGCTCATTTAATTTATCAAAAATAAAAGAAAAAAAATACAGTAAACCGCTTCTGTAATCTCCTGAATATCCACTTTCGTTCTAACAGCATATAGAAAAAATAAAATGTCATCGAGTGCTCTTTTGCTCGTTTTTTTTCACTTTATGTACACAATACAACCACACGGTAAATATATAACATAATAGTATAATGTGAAAAAAAATATCAGTTTAAAGGGAGCCAGCTGTTCCAGTAGGGCGAGGGATCCGGAGTAAAGGGAATCCTACAGCGACTGTGTCAGAAAAGTGCAGAAAGTGCAGGGAAAAAGGCGCAGAGAATAAACCCTGATTGATATCGCTTGATCCGTTTCCTTTTCAGCTGTTTTCATCTGTATGGCCTGTTGCAGCCAGGACGCGTCAACGTGTCACACTCTTCCAGATCCGAGTCCAATTGGCTATTGTATTGTTTCTTGCTACACATAAAGTTGCTTTTCCATGCGAGCATTCGTAATGCGTTGATGCGTCCTGTGTGCAACAGGCTTACCTCCTGCTTGTTTAAGACAGATCTCGGACAGGAAAAAATTTATAAATACAATCTGACAGAGTAAAGAGTCAGCAGAACGTGCTGGTCCTCTCAAAGAGTAAGCTGAAACTGCTAAGAGGCGTCTGCGACACTCACTTGTCCTCCGTGTTTGTTCACCAACGTGTCGCGGGCGACCTCAACACGTTCATGGATCGAGCCTCGTTCATCTGTCATTGAGCATCGGCGTGACCGGCGTGACGCAATTGATAAGAAATAAGTATTCAGGATCCAACACTCTCACGTTATTTCTGCACTTTTATCAGGACTCTCGTCCTGTTGAAGTCGCGCATTATCCTCGCGCCCTGGTTATCACTTTTTTTCCTCACCCTTCTCTTCCCCAAACAAACGCACAGTCTTTTCGGGCTGCAATATCTCTCGCCTCGCGTCGTCTCCAGCGAGAAGGAGCAAAAAGATCAATGAAACTGATGATGAAAGTCACAGGCTACGATAGACGCGCGTCGATAACAAACAATCACAGCATCTATCTTCGCGCGAGTCGTCCTCGTTCGCCATTGCTCCACTAGTGACGACGCGCGAGGTACAACGTGAAGTTGTGCGCGAGACGCGCTAAATCATCGCCAATTCGAGACGGTGGTAACAATTGGCGTGACCAATCAAATCGGCGTTTTGCTCTAATCTTATCTGGAAATAGGGTAACTGTCCCAATTACTGTGCCTGTCCCTCCCTTAAGAAAAAATACACTCTTGGTCCGAAATAACACCTAATGAGTATTAACTCCCAAATAAACCTCCAACTTGAGGATTAACAGTAACACTCAATTTGAGTGTCATTTCGGACCGCCAAGAGTGTATTTTTTTCGTAAGGGCTATTATTATGCTGGATTCACACTGTAGCATTAGTGTATGCTTTTGTATTTCGATAAGTCATAAAGAAAAACTAGCACGAATAAGAAAAAATATTTTTTCTTGTTAAGTTAAATTATTAATGCATACGATATCGAAGATAATATTTTATTTTTTGAGTATTAAGGTATTTTTAATATTTTTCAAAAGATACGAAGAATTTTTTATTTCATGGAAAGGAAGGATATAAAGGACTTTGATTGGTTCATTTTCTTATGCCTCATGTTTTATGCGTTATGCAAGAGTCTGTGCTCCCCGCTTTATGTATCACGCCGATGGTGATGCCAGGTGATGCCATGTGTGAGAGTGTATAATTTTCAAGAATCTATTAATTAATCACAGTCTGCACTAGAAAATTAATTAAATCTTACATAAATAAATCACTACGATTTTGTGACTTGAAAATTAGATATCTAAAAGAAGAAGAAATTGCTCATGCAAATATAACCTACACACCGCGCTGTAATGTTTACGAAACAATATAAGAAACAAAAAGAAGCATAATTTCGGAGATCTACTCGACGTGCATATAAAATTTCTCAAAATCGCTTTGATGTCTTAAACACGAAATGTTATTTACGATCGAGAGGTACGCGATTCGCGCGAGTGCGCATTATTTACGACGATGTTTCTCAAACAGTGTCGGAACTTCGCCGCAAGAATTTGCTTTGCAATCCAATGAAAATTGTATATCGATACGTCGTGAAGCTGAAAAGTCTTTGAAGATCGCTTTTCTAGGCGCGCCAAATGTCGGAAAAAGCACACTCGTTAATCAACTTATTAAACGATCGGTAATTATCTTCATTTATATATATTTTTTATATAAATATAAATAATTAAAGTATATTATTTACATCTTTTGCTTGCACTTTAAAAACAAAGAGCATTTTGCAAAAGTTTATTATGGTAATTTATATTTGTTCTATTATATATATATATTTCTTTTTATATTATGTTGTTAGATATGCCCCGTATCCTCCAAAGTACACACCACACAAACCAAAGCACATGCAATTTATTGCGAAGGTGATACTCAGCTTATATTTATGGACACGCCTGGTATGGTTTCCCTGACTGAATGTAAAAAGTTCAAGTTAGCCGACAGCTTCAAAAAAGATCAGAAAGCCTCCTTAAATGTGGCAGATATTATAGGAATTGTGCAGGATGCAGAAAATATATATACTAGACATAAAATTGATAGAAATATATTAGAACTTTTGACGGAAGATATAAGAAAGAAGATTCCTATAATTCTGGTCATTAATAAAGTGGACAGAATAAAGAAGAAGGAGATATTGTTAGATTTTGTATACACTTTGACCAAAAGTAAGAAGTCTCCAGATTTCTGTGATGTATTTATGATATCTGCTTTAACTAGGGACGGTGTTGACGACTTGAGGGTAAATTTATGATTACTGTAAAGAATTATAGACACAAGTATAATAAATTATAATTTACAATATAATTCTTAGAAATTATAGTTTTCATATTTGAAATATTGTAACATCTACATTCTATTATTTTTTTATGTTTTGCAGACTTACTTATTAGACTCAGCTAAACCACGAGCCTGGCAGTATGAAGGACATGTTTACAGTGATAATAAGTGCCAGGATATAATATGGCAGACAGTAAGAGCAAAGCTACTAGACATTCTACCAAACGAGGTTCCTTATCGTTTACTGGTGAAGTTGGAGCACTTCGATCCAGCACCCGACGACAGTGTCAATGCATTGGTATCCATTAAATGCCCCAACATGCGCATTGCTCGTCTATTAACGCGCGGTAGAAATAATAGAATAAGTCAAGTCGCTGTTATGGCAGAACAGGAACTGCGACACGCTTTTCGTACGTCGGTGATATTAAAGCTAGCTGTGGAACCTTCAACATAATTCGGCTTATATTTGTTATTTGTTAAATAAAATTAAGTATTTACAAATAAGATATTTTTATGTTTCAATACAATCAAAACCTTTAAAAATCAATCTCTGATTTAAGAATATGATTCTTCTACGTTGCATTTGTAAGGCTCAGTTCCATAAATGTAAGATTAACTTCAATTTAGGTTCAATTTACTTTTTTTTTTAACTCTACGAAATAAGAATTTTTCTAAGAATTAGATAAAGATAAACAGTAAGTGAAATCGAGAAAAAAGTTAATCTTACGTTCGTGCAGGAGCTGGACCTGAGTTGTTTAATGATTATTTATAAAGACTGTCAGAGTTATAGCAGTCAATTTATCCCTTTTTAAAAATCCTAATTTTATTTGTAAAATAAAACTATAAATAAAAGCAGTGTAAGTTCACACTGTATATACGTAGATGTAAATTATTATATTCTATGTATAATTTTGAAAGTGGATGTAGCACGGACAGGAATCAAATAGCGGAATTATCGACATTGGACGTTGCTATGTAGTTGATATTCACTTCCTCAATTAGCGCTAGTGCGCCGGCATAGATGCTATCAGACTTTTCTATCTACTTATAGTATTTGATCTACGAAAGTAAGGTTATGTCATCGTCATAAATAAACGCGGGAAATCTGTCAAACGCATACGGCGTAGAAGCGTAATAATAATGGCGCAGCGTCGTATAGAGTGAGTAGATATAATAATTATTTAACAATTTGACATAACTTAATCTATAATTATGAATACACGATTCGATTAATTAGAATAATTATTTGTATATAGATAAGTGTTTATGTCATTTGCTTTATCTTTATAGCTCCTTTTTCACTAAGGTATCCAAGAAGGAGAATTCAGGCCAGGATAATTCGGAGAGGTATGTTTTACTATTAATAGTCTCTCTTTCTCTATGGTAGTTGATTATGCTAAAAATCCTCACTACATGCTCGCGCTTGAGCTCGCTGGCTCTGCCGATTCGACGGCTAGAGCTCGCAGTCGCAGCTCGCAGTCGATTTGTTGTTTTTAATTGGATACATACAATCAACAGCCACAACTTGTCTGACAAACAGAATCAGAATGCAACGGAGAATGGCAAACGGAAAAGAGATAGCAGCAACAGCTCCAGGTGATTAAACTCAATAATTTATATGTTACAGTATTAATATTTTAAATTATTAAAAGTCTCTGTTTGTATTTATTTGTTTTCTTATAAATCGGTTTTGCAGTCCACCTTCGAAGAACGTTAAACGTACAAAATCAAAGACGGTTTCCAAGACACCTTCGCCAAGTGTTAAGCCTCGCAAACTAGGTAACTACTCTCAAATTATAGATATTTCAACTATGATATATCTGTAATTATCTTTAAGGAGCTACCCCAAAAATTAAGCCCAGTAAGCTTTCCCCTGGAGCATCAAAAAAGGCAGAAAAAAGGCAATTGAAAGATACTCCTGGTAAAAAGAAAAAGAAGGAAGAGGCTAAAAATATAAATGATGTTGAAGAGAAGGTAAAGAATAATCACACAGAAAATGATATAACTGAAGAGAAAAACAAAAAAGAAGAATCTACATTTTCAATGAAGGAATCGAAGTCCAATGAGGCAGAAAAAGTAAAGAAGTCTGTGAAAAAGAAATGGTCCAAGATAGTGCAGCTGGTAGATTCTAGTGATGATGAGACTCACCTACCTGTAAGTTCAAATTCTTTTAAAATTGTTTTTCTTAAGACTTATTTAAGTTTTGTTTTTGGCCGAAATTGAATAAAAATTAAATATTTGTGTTTGGCTGGAGATCAAAATGTGATTTCGGTCAAACTTTATAAATTTCTAAGTATTCTATAAATTTTTCTTATATGTACAAATGATGATTATAGTTACCTGGAAGTCCAAAAAAATCAGAGACTGACAACGAGGAGAAGAAGACTGAAAGTGTAGATAAGTCCAGCAACATAAATAAAAATGTTTCTGACAACGCTTCTAATAATGACGCAAACGAAAGTGCTTCGGACAATGAAGAGAAAAATCCAAGTTCGAAGAAAGAGTCTACACCTGAGAAGTCGCAAACTCCCTCTAAGAGTGAAAGTTCAAAGAAAGAGTCTACACCCGAGAAATCACAGATTCCCTCTAAGGATGAAAATCCGAAGAAAGAGCCTACGCCTGAAAAAAAGACTAAGAAAGTGCCCAACTTTTTTAGTAAGTATTCAACAATTTAAGAGTACTTTGGAAAAGTTGCGGATTGAATTTTAAAACACAGATTTAAATGAATTTAAAGAATAGTATAAGCTTTAAATATTTTATTTGAAACAGCTATTTGAAATTATGTTGCAGTGTCTAAGCAAAAAGGCGACGCGAAAGGTGACAAAGTGAGTAATGGAAAAAGTGCCAACCAGTCCTACAACCCCAGCGCATCCGTCTATCATCCGATAGACGATGCGTGCTGGAAACGAGGGGACAAGTGAGTTGAAATATAATTTTGTTTTTTAGGAAGTTTTGTTTTATTATAAGAAACCATGAAAATTTTGTAAGACTTTAACGATATTTAAAAACTTGTCCCTTTGAAATTCGCTTACAGAACTCCATATAGCGCATTCGCGCGCACCTTGGAGATCATCGAAGAAACTAGTGCAAGATTAAAAATAATAGAAATATTGTCAAATTACTTCCGGTCTGTCATGGTCCTGAGCCCCGAGGATCTTTTGCCGAGCGTTTATCTGTGCCTTAATCAATTAGCGCCAGCGTATGAAGGTTAATAATGACATTGATTATCAAAATTCAGAAGAAAGCAATTAATGTTTATCTAAAAATAACTATTTAAATTTTAGGAGTTGAGTTTGGAATCGCTGATACGAATCTGATGAAGGCGATAGCGCAATGTACTGGTAGAACCCTGGCTCAAATTAGAGCTGATGTTCAGGAGGTTGGCGATTTGGGAATTATAGCGGAAAATAGTAAATCTAATCAGAGAACTATGTTTCAACCGGCGCCATTGACGGTTCCCAATCTATACTCCAGATTGATGGAAATTGCTCAGATGACAGGACATGCGGTAACACATGCAACTGTTACAATTATGATTTTTCTATGATTAATATAAATAAATAAAATTAAAAAAAATTACAGAGTAACGAGATTTGAATTATAAAAAATAAAGACTTAAGAAATTTTAAGTTTATACTATAAATTAAAAATTAATTTGTATTTATATATATAAAAATTCTCTCTTTGAATTAGATTAATTTTGATTTTTAAAGAATTAAAAAAGAATTACGAGAAATATAAAGATTGTGTGATATATATTTGGTTTCAGAAAAAGATTAAATAATAAGAAATTGAAATATTTATATAGGAATAAATAAATTGCAAACTGTATATATTTACATAAAATAAAAAATTTTTTTTCTACAGTCTCTATCGAAAAAGTTGGATAAAATTCAGACGCTGTTTGTAGCGTGCCGAAATACAGAAGTAAGATATCTAGTTAGATTGGTAGCTGGGAAGCTTCGCATTGGATTGGCGGAACAATCTGTTTTACAAGTAAGTTATTTGCGATATTACACAGTTTTGATGAACATTATTAAATATTTGGATTTTCTTAGGCATTGGCTTTAGCTTGCGCGATGACACCGCCGGAACAAAAGTATCCACCAGAAATTCTAAATGCAAGCAAAAAGATGTCGAGTGATCGTTTCAAAGAGAAATATGATAAAATAGCACTTATATTGAAAACAACGTATTGGTAAGATTATTTTGAAAATATTATTATAAATATTAAAACAATAAATTATATAATGTTTTTGTCGAAATAAAATGTTTTCCTTAATTAAAAAGAAGGAAATATATATATAATTAAATAAAATGTACATATAAAATGTACAATATATAATTGTATTTAAAATAATTTAATTGTATCTCATAACTTTATTAAAATAAATATTTTATTAAAAATTTTATTTCTTAATTTAGAAATAAGATTAATATTCAATTAAATTTCTCTTTCTTTTCGTTAATCTTATATCTTTTTGCAGTGAATGTCCGAATTATAATCTTATAATTCCTGTTTTGCTGGAAGACGGAATTAATACCTTGCCGAGCAAGTGCAAACTTACTCCTGGAATACCCTTGAAACCTATGTTAGCGCATCCTACTAAAGGTGTTCAAGAAGTCCTAACGCGATTTGAGGGTTTGAAATTTACTTGTGAATGGAAATATGACGGCGAAAGAGCTCAGGTTCTTATTTATACATGTAATTTTGAAAATTTTATAATATAATAGAAAATATTTTATTGCACATAGAAGAAAAATAGAATACTTTAAAATTAATTCGCTGAGAACTTAGTAATTTAAATTCAAGTCGTTTAAAGAAATACAATTCGGCAGATACACGTTGCGGACGATGGTCAAATAAAAATATACAGTAGAAATCAGGAGAACAATACTACCAAATATCCAGATATCATTAAGCGATTCAAGAATAGTCGTGGTGATGAGGTGAAGAATTGTATACTCGATTGCGAGGCGGTTGCTTGGGATAGTGAGAAGAAACAAATTTTACCGTTCCAAATACTCAGTACAAGAAAGCGAAAGGTAGTAATTACATGTTATTATTTGTAATTTTAATTATTTTGATTGTAATTATATTACACATAATTTTATTGTCACTAATGACTGTAATGTAATTGCTATTAAGATTATAGTTGTGATAATTTCCATAGTGATGTTTCACTTTTGTTCTTAGGATGCTAGCGAGGAGGACATTAAAGTACAAGTATGTGTGTTTATGTTTGATCTGTTATATCTAAATGATGAGCCATTGGTGAAGGAACCGTTTGTGAAACGTCGTGAGTTGTTGAAACAGCATTTCAAGGAAGTGGAAGGTGAATGGAAATTCGCTAATAGTTTAGATGCCTCGACGATGGAAGAGGTGGAAGTTTTTTTGGACGAATCTGTAAAGGGAAATTGCGAGGGTTTGATGGTAAAGACGTTGGAAAAGGA